CACCTCAGCCTCCCAAAGGCACGGGATTACAGGCTGAGCCACCGAGCCCGGCCTGTATCCCACATCTTAAAAGAAAATATTTAAAAATTTTGAAAATACAGTTATATCTCATGAATTAAAAAAAAAGATAGCTGGGCGTGGTGGCACGTGCCTGTAGTTCCAGCTACTTGGAAGGTTGAGGTGGAAGGATCACCCGAGTCCAGCAGGTCGAGGCTGTGGTGGTCATGGGCTTGCCACTGCACTCCAGCCTGGACAACAGAGTAAGACTCCCACTCACAAAAGAAAAAAAAAAAGAAAGAAAGATGGCCCAAGGTGGGTCACTCAATGGATCGGTGGAAATGATCGGTGGGATTGGGAAAAGGTCAGTGGAGAATGACTGTGAGGTTGGAGACCGTCAATGGGGGATATGGCTGGAGGACCACTCAGTGGGACTGGGCGATCTATGACCAATGGCCGAGGGGTTGGTGAAGGAGAAAAGGTCAATGGAACTGGGGGATGGTGCCATGGGAAGGAGTCCGTTGAGTTGGGGGACAGTCATGGGGGATGGGTTGATGGGTTGAGGGATTGGAGGGAGTCAGAGGGGAAAGATCGAAGGGGGATGGCGTCAGATAAAGGGACCGAGAAAGAGTACTCCTTGGCTGGAATGTCAGTTCTCCATGAGGGGATCCCACTCCCTGGACCCCTGAGCCTTCCCAAGGTCCCCTCCCCAGAGGGGGAGGGCTCCAGGGCAGGTAGTGGGTGCAGGGGGTCCTCACCCAGGAGGGCCAGCACCATGTTGTCTCGGAGCACCTCGAGTGAGCCGGAGCAGACATAGTAGTGTGCCTGCAGGGCGTCCCCACGGCGCAACAGGTACTCGCCCGGGGCGCAAAAAGAGGTCTTGATGTGCAGTGACAAGGCCCGCAGGCAGCCTCTGCTTGCTGCTCCGAACAGCGGCAGCTGCAGAATCTCCCGATTCAGGTGCATAGCAATGTCAGCTCTCAGCTCGACTGGGAAGTCACGCAGCAGCTGCATAAGGGACATAGGTCATTCTGGCCATCCCCCTGCAGCTACGACTCGAGTCGACACGTGAGCTGAGCTGTCTTCAAGGAGAGAGCTTGGGAGGCTTGCCCTTGGCTTTGAATTCGCTTGGTCTAGACCTCCGGATGACTTCTGGGTGCCTAATCTCAATTGCTTGAGGTGTAGACCTCCCAAGCCGTTTTCTGGGGCAGAGACCAGGCCTTCTCCTATCTGCTCTCTGCCCACGGCCACACACTCTGGTCACATATGCATGTTCAGGCTGCCCAACCCCACGCAAGCAAGAGCCAGCCTTGGAGGGTCAGCCTTCAACTGGGAGTCAGGAGACACTCAATCTTGAGTATCACCAGTGACCCCTTAGGGCCAGACTTAATTTCTACATCTTTGGCCACTCTGGCTTGTTGACCTCTCCCTCTGATTCCCCGGGGGCTCTTGTGAGGGACTCTTCTTCCTCGGTCTACCTGGCCTCTCCTCTCTCTCTCCACACTCTCCCTGCGTCATGGCAACCAGCCCCCTGACTCCCCTACTCCCTATGCACCTGAAGCCCTAGGTCTGGGTCCAGACTTGATTTCCAACTACCAACTAGAACTTTCGCGGGCACCACACCCTCCTCACAGCCTGACCCTGGACTCCTCCAGCCCAATCTTCATCCTGTAATGCCTCTATCCTGCCCCTGGGCCCACAACAGAAACCTGGGCATCCCCATGAGCTGCTGTCTTACAGCCAGCTGGAGATCAGGATGCCTCATGGATCTCACCTGGATCCCAGCAACCCTCCCTCCTGGATCCCCACACCACTGCCCCAGCCTAAACATCTCGCAGGATCCAATCTAAGCTCCAAGCCACCCAAGAGCAGGGCCTGCTGCCTCCCCGGCCTGGTGTCTTGCCTGCCCAACCCACTGAGGTCCCCAACCTAATGTCCGGCCCTCCCCAAGCGTCCACACAGCCCCGGCTCCCGGAGGCTCACTAAACTACTTTCAGTTCTCAACAGCCTTCTCATGGCAGGCCAGTTTCCTTCTCGTCCTTCCTGCTGCCCCCTCTGCTGTGCCACCTTCCTCCACCCCTCAGGCCCAGACACAGCAAGGGCAATATCGCACCCACAGCCCTCCCATACAGCCCTATTAATCGCTGTTCTGTTCATCCGTCTGCCTCCCACCTGCTGAGGTCTCCCTGAGGGCCAGGGATGAGTATGACCACCTCTTAAACTCCCAGCATCCAGCACCAAGGCTGGCCCAGGTGCACAGGGACACTGGCTGGGGGAGCTCCCAGCTCCCACATTCCAGGGCCAAGAGAAAGGGATCTGGATATGGGCAGGAGTGTGCCCCTCAGCTCCCCAGCCCGAGCACCTCCATTCCAAACTGGAGGTGGGCAATCCCCTCACCACCAGCCCCGCCCCACTGCGGGCCAGAGGAAGGCGCACTACCTCGTTGGCATCGATGCCGCTGTTGACTGCCCACGTGGTCTGGAAGTACTCGAGCATGCGCTGCTTGAGCGACCGCGGCAGGCGATGCACGCGGATGAAGTCCTTGAGGTCCTTCATGCGGCTGTGGTAGAGTGAGCGGCGCGAGTACATGCGCTGGATGATGGCCGTCACGTTCCCAAACACCACAGCGTGCATCAGCGCTGAGGGGGCGGCGGGCACCGTCAGGGGGCCACCCTCCGGCTGCCCCCCAGCTCCCAAACCTCCTGCCCCAGAAGGGTCTCCAAACCCCTGGTCCTGCATGCCAGGTTGCCGGAGGCTAGGTTGGCGGTGGGAGGAGGGGGCGGCTGGTCCAGAGATGTGTCACACCGGATGCTCCTTGGTCATGCCCTGCCCACTGGGTCATGACCTTGGGTGCCCTTTCCAAGAGGCCATGCCTGACTGGGGCATCCCCCAAGCCCGTGCCTGGTGGGCACTGAGGACACACCAGTGAATGAATGTGCAACTGTCTGGACTCTGTGGACACCTCTGGCGCACACCCTGCCTCTCTGGGCCTCGGTTTCCCCCATGCCCACGTGGGCTCCCTGGGGCCTGGTGGGCTGGGCTCACCGCCTATGAGCATCGTACAGACGGAGAAGATCTTCTCGGCGTCTGTGTTGGCGCACACGTTGCCGAAGCCCACGCTGGTGAGGCTGCTCAGCGTGAAGTAGAGGGCGGCAATGTAGGCACTTCGCCGGGCCGGGCCGCCGGTGGAGCCGTTCACATAGGGCGCCTCCAGCCGCTTGCCCAGTTCGTGCAGCCAGCCTGCAGGGGGGAGGGCAGGAGGGAGCCTGGCTGGCACGTGTAGGAGGACCAGGTTTCCCGAGCTGCCTGAGCTTGACTTTGGGTAATATTGACAAAGGGGAGGGGTGGCTTGCACGGGTTGGCACAGCCTGTGCCAGGGCCCCCCGCGGGGAGCTGGCTACAGTTTCGGTCCAAGGCTGCCAACTTCCCACACTGCTGACTGCTCAGAGGTCGCTTAAACTCTCTCATATTTTACTGTGCACCTGCTGTGTACAAGGTGACCCAGTCAGACGCTCTCCCTGCTCTGGTGTGGCTTACAGTTTGGAGGGGAAAGAGACATGACGTCACAAAGCATGACATGTAGGGGTGAGTTCCTGAAAGGGAAGTACTGTTCGGAGTTTGTTAGGAATCCTAAACAGGTTACGGAGCGCCAACCCAGAGGGCATGGAGGGAATGCTCCCATAGGATGAGACACTTTGGTTGAGACTGCAAGGAACAGGAAAGTCACCTAGGTGGGAGAGGGAAGGCAGAAGAGCGAGGATTCCAGAGAGGAAACATGTTCAAGGCCCCGCTAGAGAAAGTAGCATGTCTTAGCTGGGTGTGGTGGCTCATACCTGCCATCCCAGCACTGTGGGAGGCAGAGGCGAGAGGATTGCCTGGGCCCAGCACTTCCAGACCAGCCTGGGCAACTTGGCAAGATCTCATCTCTACAGTAAATCAAAAAATTAGCTGGGTACAATGGCGCACGCCTGTAACCCAGCCCTGTGGGAGGCGGAGGCAAGAGGATTGCCTGAGTCCAGGGGTTTGAACCAGTGAGGGCAACTTGGCAAGACCTCGTCTCTACAGTAAATCAAAAATATTAGCTGGGTGTGGTGGTGCTCACCTGTAGTCCCAGCTACTCGGGAGGCTGAGGTGGAAAGAGCACCTGAGCCCAGCAATTTGAGGCTGTGGTGACTGTGAGTGTGCCACTACACTCCAATCTGGGTGACAGAGTGAGACTCTGACGAAAAAACCCCAAAAAACAGAAAGTAGCATGTCCTGGGGGGTGGGGAGTGGCAGGGAAGAGACAGGTGGGGTGTGCAGGTCAGAGCTGGTTTTCTTTTTAGGCACGATCACAGTTCATCACAGCCTCAACCTCCTGGGCCTCCTGAGTGGCTGGGACTACAGGGCGCACCACCACACCTGGCTCATTTTTTTTTTGTTGGTAGAGACAAGGTCTCCATATGTTGCCCTGACTGGTCTTGAACTTCTGGACTCAAGCAATCTTCCCTCCTTGGCCTCCCAGAGTGCTGGGATTACAGGTGTGAGCCACCGCCTGGGCCAGTGTTGATTCTGGGGACATCAGTTTGGCTGCAGTGAGGAGGGTGGTTGAGTGTGGATGAGAAAGAAGCAGTAGGTGCCTGTACAAGTTTAGGTGAGAGCTGGAATGGGGAGGCCTGGGATGGTAGAGAGGATGGAGAGAAGAGGCCAGATCCAGGGGACATTTCAGAGGCGGTATAGATGTGTGCTGGGCTAGTGTGGGGTGAGGGAGAGGGAAGCGTCAGGGACAATGCCCAGGACTTGACCAGTCTTTCAGGGGGACACTGAGGGCTGGAGCTGTCTCCCGTCTGGTGGCCATTCAGCCAGGAGAAGGCTGGGCGCTTTCTGGAGCTTTGCATGCGTTGCCCTCTCTGCCTGAAACACCCCGCAGGCCGGGTGCAGTGACTCATGCCTGTAATCCCAGCACTTTGGGAGGTGGAGGCGAGAGGATTGCCTGAGCCCATGGTTTGGAGGCCAGTCTGGACAACTTGGCGAGATCTCATCTCTACAATAAAAATTCAAAAAATTAGCTGGGTGTGGTGGCATGTGCCTGTAGTTCCGGCTACTTGGAAGGCTGAGGTGGAAGGATCGCCTGAGCCCAGCAGACTGAGGCTGCGGTGGCTGTGAGAGTGCCACTGCGTTCCAGTCTGGGTGACAGAGTGAGACTCCTACTAAAACAAAACAAATAAACAAACCAAAAAACGCAGCCCCTCCCCCATCAGTGTTTCCTACATTGAATTTTGATCACCCATTGCTGGTCTTGCTCCCCTGCTGGTCCCCACCAAAGGCAGAGCCTTTGACTGCAAGTCAGTATTCCCACATCTGCTCCAGAAAGAGCTCAGTGTGTGTGTGTTGGATGGAGGAACGTGAGCTGCGGGGGGACATGGGGTGGGACAGTGGACAGGTGGTCAGCGAGAGTCTGGGGTCGGTGGCTCACCAACGTCCCAGAGCAGCGGGTCATTGGCCTCCATCTCCCGGCGCCCGATGACGTACCAGACGCAGGCCATCCAGTGGGCAAGGAGCGCGAACACCGACATGAGCAGAGCCAGCACCACCGCGCTGCACTGTGAGTACCGCTCCAGCTTCTGAAGCAGCCGCAGCAGCCGAAGCAGCCTCACGGTCTTCAGCAGCTGCACCAGTGAGGTCTGCGGGGTGCGGCGGGGAGGCTGTCAGCAGGTGCATCTCCTGGAGCCGCACGCCCACTCCCTTCCCCGGGGCCTGCCCACCCCACATCCCTGCTGTCCTGAGAAAGTGGCAGGAATTGTAAAGGGGGCGGCGGTGAACACGCAGTAAGTACTCCCTGTACGCGCCAGGCACTGTGCTAGGCGTGTGTAGTTCTTGCTTTAAGGAAATAAAGACGGCCATGCCTATAATCCCAGCACTTTGGGAGGCGGAGGCGAGAGGATTGCCTGAGCCCGCAGGTTCGAGATCAGCCCGGGCAACTTGGCGAGACCTCGTCTCTACAATAAATCAAAAAATTAGCCAGGCGTTGAGGCGCGAGCCTGTAATTCCAGCTACTTGGAAGGCTGAGGTGGAAGGATGGCCGGAGCCCAGCAGTTCGAGGGTGAGCGTGCCATTGCACTCCAGTCTGTCAGCCTGAGCGACAGAGGGAGACCCCAACTCAAATAAATAAATAAATAGACACTCTTTCTGTCTCCAGCTACAGCAGCGAAAGGAGTCGCCACCATATCCGCGCATCTCCAGTGCATGGTGATGGGGAACTCCTCCAGGTTCCTGGTCAAGAGGAATAAGCAGGCCAACAACCCCGAGCCCCATAATCTGAAGACCCACATCTCCTTCCACTACAACAGACTGATCCACTGCAAGGCAGTTGGCATGGAGCCGGCAGCCGATGGCAAGGGGGTCATGATGGTCACGAAGCAGAGGACCAGCTAGCAAAAGCCAGCCACCTCCTAAGCACAGACCACCATCCACAAGAACACCAGGGCCACGCTCAGCAGCACCAGCCACATGATCCGAAAGAACAAGTATGCCCCGACAAGCGCATAGCTGCTATCCGCAGGGCCAGTGCCATCCTCCATATCCAGAGGCCCATAATGGTGAAGAGGAGGCAGACCTGCCCCACCAAGAGCTCCTGAGCCCACTCCTCAAAAGCAATAAAGAGTCAGCTGCCGGCTGGGTGCAGTGGCTGAAGCCTGTCATCCCAGCACTTTGGGAAGCTGAGGCAAGAGGATTGCCTGAGCCTAGGGGTTCGAGACCAGCCTGGGCAACTTGGCAAGACCTCGTCTCTACATTATTAGCTGGGCATGGTGGCGTGTGCCTGTAGTTCCGGCTACTTGGAAGGCTGAGGTGGAAAGATCACCTGAAACCAGCAGGTCAAGGTTGTGGTGGCCGTGGGCGTGCCACTGCACTCCAGCCTGGGTGACAGAGTGAGACTCCGACTCAAAAAAAAAAAAAAAAAAAAGGCAGCTGCCTTCCTTGAAAACAGATAAATAAATCAGTAAAGACCATCTATGCCTTTAGTCCAGTTATTGCCATTGTTCCAATTTGCAGATGAATAAGCTAAGGCTAGGAGAAGCTAGTGACTTGCTCGAGGTCACAGACCCAGGGAAGGACAGGCTGGGACTTGAGATGGGTGTCTGGGCTGACTGGACTCTCTCTAAGCACTGTGGGGTGATGGAGGGACCAGTCCCGGTCAGAGTCACAGAAGAGATAGGATCTCTGCAGAGCCCTGCTCCAAGCCCCAGTGTCCCAGGCATGATCAGCTGTTAGGGATGATAGCAGTTGTGATGGGGACCACCTCTCGAGACACGAAGGAGCATGGTGGAGTGGGGACAGGCACGGGCTTGAGGACGGGTAGGTCTGCAGACCTTTCCCCTTGGGGTCAGCTGCAGACGAGGGTCACACAGAAGAGTGGAGGGCAGCAGGGCACAGTGGCTCACGCCTGTAACCTCAGCACTTTGGGAGGCGGAGGTGAGGGGATGACCTGAGTCTAGGTGTTCGAGATCAGCCTGGACAACTTGGCAAGACTTCGTCTCTGCAATAAATCCCAAACTTAGCCAGGCGTGGTGGCACACTCCTGTGGCTCCAGCTACTTGGAAGGCTGAGGTGGAAGGATCACCTGAGCCCTGTAGGTTGAGGCTGAGGTGTCTGTGAGCGTGCCACTGCACTCCAGTCTGGGCGACACACAAAAAAATAGAGTTGAGGGCAGGAAAGCAGGGATTTAGGGATCCTGAGCTGTGCTGGGGGTGATGGAGCTAATAGCACCAAGAAAGGGTCCTGTGAAGCTTTGCTAATATTATTGTGACTTAGCCAGGTGCACTGGCTCACACTTGCGATCTCAGCGCTTTGGGAGGCTAAGGCAGGATGATCGCTTGAGGCCAATAGTTTAAGACCAGATCGGGCAACAGAGTGAGATCCTATCTCTACAAAGAAAAATTTAATCTTGTAAAAATAAAAACGGATGATTGCAACTACTGTCTTCACAGTGATTATGAATACTTCAATTACCCTTCCAGTCTTGGGGCTGAGGAGAGAGCTGGGGGGCTTATCTTCCAGGTGTGGGCAGCTTGGCAGCCAAGACCGGAGGCTCCCAGGCAGGGCCTGGGGAACTTGGTGTGAGGGGCCCATCCTGCCCATTCAGGAGCATTTCCCACAGCCCCGAACCACCTAGTGCCGTGCTCTCTCATTTTAAGCGAAGGAACTGGCGAGGAGGTGAGCTTGATTCTCCCACACAGGTCCTCCCCGGGCCTTAATGCCTGCCCCAGCCCCCAGAGCAGAGCTCTGGGCTGCAAACTTGGGTAATTTGGGGCTTGCCCTAGTCAGCTGCTTCCCAGACCCACTGCCCTGGGACTCTCCTCTTGTTCTCCTTGCACTAGAATATTCCAGGCCTGGCTCCATCAAGTCCGCAGCTCGGTCAGTACCTACTCATCCTCATATATATATATAATTTTGTATTTTAGAGACAAGGTACTGCTCTGTCACCCATGCTGGAGAGCAGTGGCACGACCATTGTTCGTTGCAGCCTCCAACTTGTGGGCTCAAGTGATCCTCCTGTCTCAGCCTCCCAAGTAGCTAGGACCCTACTCATCTTCTGTCTCCGTTCTACCTCTCTCGGCCCCCATCATTGCTCCCTCTCTCCCTTGAACCAGACCACCCACTCAGGTACCCCAGTTACATGGGAAGCAGCATGGTATGTTGGTAAGAATACCACCCCAGGAGTCTGGAGACCTGATTCTAATCTCCTGCCTGCCATTGTGATCTGTGTGACGTTCAGCCAGTCACTTAACCTTTCTGAGCCTCTGCATCCTTGGAAAAGGAGAGAATCTGCCCTGAAGGGTCCCTGTGAGGCTCTCATGTGACGATGTGTGTGGAAGAAAGTAGTGAGCTGTAAAGTGCTCCTACAGGTGCCAGAGGAGGGGGGTGCTGCCTGAGAGGGGGGCTGGGGGCCTTAGCAGCTCTCCCTCTCTCCAGCTGTATGCCTGGTGGGCACAGAGGGCTGGGTGTGCACCTGAGGAGGGATGGGGAGCTCTGCTCACGATGGCCGGAGTACCGGGGCAGACGTACACACACACACGTGTGTGGGAACATGCACACACATGTGCAAGCCAGGAGAGGAGGCCCGCAGCCTGTTGGCGGCTAGTTAAATCTGGCTGTGTGTAGGTGGTTTCCTGCTATAGCCAAGCACAGAGGGAGCGCACACAAGGAAGATGCTCCCACCTCCCAGCCCGCAGCCAAGGGGGTCTGGGGACACGGGTGGGACTGCGGAAGACTGTCTGCCGGCTGGACCTACAGTGACCCCTCAGGGCACCTCCAGATAGCCCCAGGGAGCTGTGAGGATGCAGGTCCCGGTATGCTCTGCCTCTGGATCCCACCCAGCCACTGCTTCTTTGTCTTACTATGTGCCCCCAAACAATCTTTCCTCCTCTCCTGCCTGTCAAGTCCTACTCACCCTGGAAGACCTGACTCTACTCCCGCCTCCTTGGGAGCCTTCCAGACCACCCCAGCCTCTGCCTAGTCAGGATGCTTCCTCCTTCAGGAGCTGGGCAGGTTTCAGACCTCTGTTTTACACATGCTTATTTTCCAGCCCGGAACTCCAGGGTTGTCCCAGCCCTCACACGGCAAGACCCGGGCACCATCCGCCACCCTCGTCACCTCTTCTGTCCCTGATGTCCCCTCCAGCATTCCTGCCCCCTCACCAGGTTTCCTTTTCCCACAGCGCTCATGCCCCCACACGGTGCTTTGCAGACAGCTAAATGCTCATCGTTGTTTGTTAAATAAAAATGTGAGGCATACCACTCACTTGGCATCAGCGCATGCCGCCCTGGTAGCCACAGTTAGCTTTTCATTTGTCTCAGCTTCCCTCCAAGACTGCAAGCTGAGCTGCCCAAGAGCACAGAGCCTCTTGGGTCTCCCCAGAACCCAGCATGGGGCTATGCCCACGGCAGAGGCCTGGTTCCTATTTGCAGGGGGACTGACGGGAAGGGCTCTGTCCGGGTTTGGGGTCGGTTCCCTAGTGGGAGATGCAGTGCTGAGTTTGGGGGGCCAGGCTGCATGGTGGCTGGGGGTCACTCACCACTGTGATGTTGAAGACATAAAGCAGGTCAAAGGGCAGAGCAGCAATAAGGTCCACGAAGAACCAGGTGGCCAGGTAGTGGAGGCCAATGGAACGAGGGGCAGAGATCACCTGACCGGACTGGGACACATAGGTGGTACGGAAGTTCAAGATGATATCTGGGGGTGCAAGAGGCTATTACTAGGGGGCCTTGACCAAAGGGCCGAGAAACTGGGAAAGCTGGGAACGAGCTTTGGAGACTCGGAGTGGAGGAGGAGGTAGGAATGGAGAAGACACACTGGGCTTCTGGTGGGTCCTTGGGGAAAAAGTCACAAGGTTGAAGGCTGCGGGGGATGGGGAGCAGGGCACATGGGCCATTGGGACTTAAAGACTCAGCAGGCCTGGGCACTGAATGCCTGGGTCCTGCAGGTCCAGGATGAAGTGAGACGGGCTGAGCGGGTCCCCCAGTCCACCCACCAGAGGGCCGAGGCAGAGGGTCTGACCCAGGATGAAGAGCATCTCCACGGCGATGTCACTGACAAGGGTATGCCGCGAAGTGATGGGGGTGTCATCATCACCCGAGAAGCAGACGTTGTAGGGGACGGTGACCGCAACGTAGAAGGTGGCGAGGAGGATGAGGCCGTCCCAGATGGCCTTGGGGACGCTGTAGTGGAGGAGGAGGCAGCGGGACCCCCCCACGGAGGCCACCTTGTACTCGGGCACTGATGGCTTTGGCTCAAACACGTTCTAAGGGGAGAGAGGTGGCGGTTGAGGACACATGGGGGGAAAGGGGAGCCAAGGCTGGGGGAGGGGGGAGGTACAGGGAAGGCAGGTGCTGTGGAGGTAACCATGAGAGGAGACAGAGGCGAGGAGGGGGGTTCAGAGGCAGACACTGATACTTTCTTCCTCCGGCCAGGGTACTGCCCAGCTCCCTTTTGAACCCATCACGTTTTGTGGGGGATATTTACAAGGCTTGACCCTCATCCTACTTGAGAAGGACATTATGACAAATCAGGCCCAGGCCCTAGCTCAAGGGGTGGCTAGCTTCTCCTGCAAGTTCCTCCTGGGTTCTGGGGACCCAATGTGGGGTGGGTATGTCCCAGCGGGGAGGGGGTGCTGCACAGCCCACAGCATCCCCAGAGTCCTAACAGACCGCAGACCACACAGAGGGCTGGAGCTTCGCTCCACTGGCTTTGTCAGGATCCCACAAGGTGGCACACAGGGCCAGATGGCAGGCCCTCCCTAGGACCACGGCAGCTTTGATTTCACCCCTCCATGATGTTACTCCACCACCCAGGAGTAGGCCATGAAATTGCTGCTGGAGCCTCACCCCCGTGACATCATCAGGGCATGGTAATGTCAGCCGCCTAGGGTGGGGATAGGAGGGGTGGGGGGATGTGGGAGGAGCACAGCGTGGTACATGGTAGATGGGTGGATGGAAAATAAGCCAACAGAGGGAGGCGGATCGACAGGGAGACAGGGAGCCGGCTGTAGGAGGCGCCTCAGAATCGAGGCCAGAGGACTTGGGGGATGCTGGGACTCACATTATTGGCATTCAGGCCTTCCTGGCCCTGGCGGCCACAGTGGCCAGTCAGCCGGCGTAGGACAGTGCGGCTCTGCTTTCTGGCGGACCGGAGCTTCCAGCTGGCTCCCCTCTTGCCGAGAGAGTTGTCTGGTGGGATGAAAGGTGCAGGGATAAGTTGGCGCATCCCAAGGGTGGATAGAGGTCTCGTGTGACCTTGGTCAAGGAGTTCTGACCACCCATGCCTCTCGCCCAGACTTGCCGTTACCGTGGTGACTGTCCCCAGGGATTCCTGGGGGGCCGAGTCCTGGGCTTCTGCCCTGAGTGACGTCCTTAAAGGAAAAGAGGAACAACACGACCTCCCCCATCTCGTTCTTGATGGGCATCATGTCCAGGAGACACCAAAAGGCCGAGCCTGCAGGTGAGGAGAGAAGGAGGGATGGGCATGAGCGGCCGCCCATGGCCTGGCTCCCTCCTGCTTCCCCTTCATTGCTAGACATAGTCAAAGAACTGAAAGGAACCCTGGAGTTTCTGTCAGCCAACTCCGTCATCATTCAGCTGTGGAATCCTGGGCCCAGCGAGGGACGGGGACACACTCAGTCACACAGTCAGCTTGCAGCAGTATGGGGCAAGCACCCAGCTTCCCCTGTGCCCAGTGCACTGTGGGTAAGGTCTGGGATCTGGACAGGGCTGCAAGGTGGGTCGGCCCCTCACCGTCCTTGCGGTAGAAGCAGATTTCAGCCCGGTGCTCCTGGTGGCCCTCCAGGGCTTTGTGCAGCTTCTGCAGGGCTGGCTCGCTGGTCTCGGGGCCATAGAGGAAGCGGCAGTTGCAGGTTTTCTGCATGACCTCCGTGCGGCCATAGCCTGTGAGCTCACAGAAGCCGTCGGAGCAGTAGACGATGGGAAAGCCCTGCGGGCTCTGCGCGTTGGCCAGCAGGAAGTTGCTGTCTGTGGGAAGACGAGGTCAAGGTCAGGTCAACGCCAGGAGGGCTAGCTTCCAGGTGGGCCACATTTCCCCTGAGTTGTGATTAGAGGTCACAGAGCCAGAAGCTTCCCAGGCCTCCAGGTGGCTCCTGGGTATGCTGAAAGGAAGAAGAGACAGCACAAAGGACTCAAGGGTGGCCTAGAACTGAAGCGAGGATGGCTGGGGTGTTGAAGAGGTCACACAGTCCCTCCTCCTGCCTTCCCCTGGTGAGCTGTCTCTGTGGAAGGCAGCACACCACAATGAGGAAGAGCCCCAGCTCCCACAGCCCTCCCTTGCCATGTACTGACTGCGTGACCTTGGACAAGTGAATGACCCCTTCTGTGCCTGGGCTTCCTTATTTGCAAAGTGGGTCTCACAGACCTTCCTCACACGGCTGTGGTGAGAGTTGAATGAGTTAACTTGGGGAGGACAAAGCCAGGCCGGTGACTCTGTGATCCCAGCACTTTGGGAGGCGGAGGCGAGAGGATTGCCTGAGCCTCTGGGTTCGAGATCTGGGCAACTTGGCGAGACCTCGTCTCTACCATAAATAAAAAAATTAGCCCAGTGTGGTGGCATGTGCCTGTAGTTCCAGCTAGGCTGAGGCGAAAGGACTGCCTGAGCTCAGCAAGTCGAGGCTTCGGCGGCCATGAGTGTGCCACTGCACTCCAGCCTGGGCAACAGTGTGAGACTCTGACTCAAAAAAATAAAAAATAACTCGGGGAGGACAAGTCTTGGCACATAAGTAAGTGCTGTTGTGTGCTCTGAGAAATGGTCCCCCCACACTTGTTCAGCTTTCATTCTGTTACAGAGCGAGCAGGGCAAAGGTCCCGGTGACGTCACACCTATTTTATTGATAGGAAACCAAAGGCAGAGATTATCCAGACTCTCAATCCCCTTAGTCTGGGGAGAAAACAGTGATGAGCACTGTTCTCATTCCCTGCCTTCCAGGAAAGGCTTACTTTCTAGCATTCCTTTAGCTATTTCCAGGGGGTCTGTCCTCAGTGATGGAGAAGGACTAAGGGTGCTCCTCCAACCCCCAACAGCAGAACCTGAGTGGGCTCCCTTCAGCTCTGAAGGGTGGGAGGCCACAGGGGGGCTCCTGTGGGCCACCCAGGGTCAGAGTCTCAGCTTTCAGATGGCACCTGAGATACCACGAGTCCCGGGCCACTAGGAGGGGTGACCGTCCAGGGGCGAGGTGGCTGATGGGGACACTGAAGGTGCCTGGGAGGCACTGCGCTCTGGGCACCGCCTTCTTCCATCCCAGGGCCCGTTGCCCCGGTGATGGGCGCTATGGAAACAAGTGAGATGTGTGTGGGGAGGCGGGTAGGGCCCCGTGGCTCTGTTTCCGCCCTCGGGTACAGCTCCTCCGTCTTCCAGATCCCGGCCAGGGTTTCCCAAGGGGCGAGGCGG